AGCTGAAGCTGGTATTCCCTGACAAATCGGTGATAGGCAGTCTAGCCTTGCTATGCCAAGGACGGTCCATGGGCCAGCTGTCCTGGCATCATCTAAGAGCCCGTTAACAATTTAGAATCAGTGCCATCTCAGGCTGGCTGAATCAGAACCTGCCTTCGAAGAAGATCCTAGGTGATTGCTTGCCTATTGAAGTTTGAGAAGAAGGGTCTAGATACACATGGGCCTATACAGTGTGGAATTGAGGTTTAATTCTTAATTCCATCAGTGATTGACATTTTGGAAAGATCGTTTACTGTTTTTTAAAATTCTCCATTTTTTTTCTCATCCGTAAATAAAAATAGCTTTCATTTTCCTTGGCAAAAGATTTGTGAGTCTAGATGAGATAGACTATCAAGTGCCTTATGTGGTGAGGGAATTACAGTCCTGTTATTTTACATAAGAAGACTAAAATATACCCTCGAGAGGAAGGGTAACAATTGTTTCAGAAACACTTGACTGTCAGACAAAATGCATTTATTTTGCTTCAGAAGACAAAGGAGGTGGAAATAATTAACTTGGCTTCTGTTTTCAAAGGGAGAGAGACCCATGGTCTTTTCTGTCAATCTATGTACTTGCTCCTTTTATAATCTGGTAAAATAATAGAAATAATCTAGTGCTTTCTAGTATGAAAATATTATTTATAAAAATATTTACTGAAGAAGATGAAAGAGAGGTTTTAAAAAAATTACTTTATGGAGAAGCCTCTAAAGGTGCAGGGATAGCTCTGTAGGAGTAAAACATACCAGCACTTGTTTTCGTAAAGCCATTGGGAAGGAATCGCCTCTGCTTAGGTGTCAAGTGCAAGCTGTAATTTGCTGTGTGTTTGTACCCTTCAGGTCCTTTGTTGTCCATTATTATTGGATGCCCATTTTATGGCCCCAGGAAGACCTGAGCACCAGCCATTAGCAGCAGTGAAAACAGCAGGTCCCTGGGTAGGCTGTGGATCACCAGGCAGGTTGGATCACAGGGGTGTCCCTTAAGTATTTAGCAATAGGTTGTACATCCCTCAGATTACAACACAAAAAAAGCTCATAGGTGTATTTCTTGATGTCTAACATCATTATTTTACTGTGCTTACATTTGCAGGAGATTCTGCAATCAGGTTATTAGAGGTCAGACACATAGTCCTTCAGTTTTAGGTTTCCTCTGAGGAGAGACGGTGGCTGGTAGACAAGAACATAGTGGTAACTTGCCTTTCATTTTGTCTCCTCTTTCCCCAACAGCTTTAACTTTACCTGAGTATACTTGCTTCTTACTACTATCTCCAATTTTTAAACGTCCAAATAGACAGTGTTTTTCACACATTATTTAGCCATATTTTAGGTGAATTCTGTACTGATTTTCAGTAATCCCAACCAACAGGCACACTTTACCTGTGTGGTAATTTTAAAGTTGCACTATTTCATGGTGTATTGGAGGATTGCTTGTGTGCACACACACATGCTATATATACTGTAGATAAACACACACACACACACACACACACACACACACACACATTCTTATAATTAATGCCCCGAAGTTTAAGTCAGGGAAAGGAATGCATGTGTGAGGAGATAATCTTTGAAATTTTTAACATAAATATAACACATATCTGTATAAATATATTAAATAATATTTTCTAAACAGCCAGTCCTATTTTTCATTTACTGAGTGTACTTTGTGCCACAATATTCCAAGATTCTTAAGTTATTTTCATCTTTACCAATTTAATATCTATCAGATTAGATACATGGTCTTAATAGAACAATTTTTCCCGGACAAAGTTACAAACTAATGTATTAGTCAAAAGTAATTATATTTCCTATCATGATCATTAGTAGCACAATTGAGCTGCTTGGTGAACATGGGGAAAATTAAAGAAACCATCCAATTTATCTTCTTTGTTATGGAAGCTTATTAAATATATATTACTTCAAAAATACTGTGGTGTTGAAAGCTATGTATTTAGATTTTATTTGAAGTAGAGTCCCACATGCTGAGCTGCAAAGAAAAGGACATGTAAAGTTATTGTGTCCTTGTGTGTCTGAAAACTCCCAGAGTCCTCAGTCCTAACTCTTGGAGGGGGTCTAAGAGTCAAATGTCTTTTCATTTAATTTCCGCAGGACTTCCTAATGCCTCCACTTTATCTCCGCCACTGTTACCGTGCTTAGTATTTCTGCTGTGAAAGTATCATCAGTTATTAGGTAATCTCATAAAAGCCTATTTTTATAGCTTTATTGAGAGATATTTCATATACTATAAAATTCATACACAAAAATGTACAGTTCAGTGATTTTTTTAGTGTATTCATAGAGTTGTGCAACTGTCTCAAGATAGTTCTGCAACAATCTATTTTGAGATCATTTTCCAATTTTAGCGTATGTGCTGTCAAAGTGAGCATGAGAGATCATTTTCAGCACCACAGATTCTACCCCTATACTCATTAGCTGTGTTCCTTGTTCTAACTTGTCCCCTCCCCAGCCAACTACCACATCTACTTCTGTCTCTTTGGATTTGCCTTCTCTGGACATTTTATATAAATAGACTCATGCAATATGTGGTCTTCTGTGACTGCTTTGTTTTACTTAGCAGAATGTTTTTAAGGTTTGCCCATGTTGTAGTATGTATCAGTACTTCATTTATTTTGGTTACTGAATAATATTCCATTGTATGCATATACCACATTTTGTTTATTCAGTCATCAGCTGATGAACATTTAGGCTGTTCCCACCTTTGTCAACTATGAATTGTGCAGCTATGAACATTCATGTATAAATTTCATATTAATGTATATTTATAAATCTCTTGAATATACATCTAGGAGTAGAATTGCTGAATTATATGATAACTATGCTTAGCATTTTGAAGAATTGCCAAACTATTTTCTAAAGTAGGTGCCCCATTGTACATTTTCACCAGCAGTATATAAGGGTCTCAATTTCTCTACATCCTTGATAACACTTATCATTCTGTGTCTTTTTTATTTTAGCCATCCTGGTGGATGTGAAGGAAGTAGTATCTCATTCAGGTTTCAATCTGCATTTCTCTAATGACTAATGATGTTGAGCATCTTTTCATGTGCTTTTGACAAAAATCCCATTTTTGATGTCTGCACACAATCTAAGCCAAAAAGTCCAATTATGTGTAAATGTAGCTTTGAATATTTCCTCCTTTTTTTTGAGACTGTTTTGGTAGAGAACAGAGAGGTTTACTGACCAACATTTTAAGTCAGTTGCAAAGTTAGTCCAACATCTTTTCTCTCCATTTTATGGAAGAGTATTGGGAACATCTGTGGGAACTTTCTAGTAGTTGATGGAAGAAATTTAATTATTACTTGAAGATTTCTAATCTTCAAGAGTAAACTGTAAGTGAAGTTTGCTGAATATTGATGCACTTGATATTTTTTTCTTTACCCTTTAGAGAGTCCTCTTTTTTCAGTTCATCCTAATGCCATGCTATTTATATGGACCTCTATCAAGCTTGTTATCAGGACAGGATGTGAAACTCATAGACATTAAGGAGGACATGGTGGAAAAATAAATCTGTGTAATTTTCCAAGATTATTTTCAGAGAATGAAGGAATGAGGGACTGAAAAGTTCTTAGTGAAAAATTAAGGCAACATCAGAGATGAAGATTTTCTTTGGCTAACTTTCTGTGTCATTTGCATATGACTGAAAACTGCATCCAGAGTAATTTAACAAAGGTAACCTATTGGCTTCCGTATGCTGGGAAGGCTCCAGTGGTATCACCAAGATCTGTCTCCGCTATTCCTATAGGCTGGCTCCATTTTCATCATTCTTGGGATGATTCCTGGAAGCTTCCAGCTCACATTATCACAGCACTCTGTTGAGGAAAAAAGAGAAATTGTTTCCCTGGTGCCCCAACCCAAGGCTCAGAACTGAGTCTCTCTGGCCCCATTTGACATGACCTAGGACAAATGCTCATTTCTGAATCACTGAATGGGGCCAGCATGATGGACCTGCCCTCAGCTCAGCTTAGCACATGTGATCCCCCTGGGTCCTGATGGAGTCACTGTACTGGAAGCATCTGGGCTGAGACTAGCAAGGCAGGGGAGAGGAATGTCTGGCAGCATAAGGAATGATCATTATCTGCTCAAAACCCTAGACCACAGATGGGTTCCTTCTTTCAGAGGACAGTTCTAGGAAGGATGTTAAAAAGTCATCTTGAGCAATGGTTCTCAAGCTTTAGGGTTTGTGTTTGTTAGGGCTTTCCTGTCCCACCACTGTATTTGAGAAGTGGATAACTTGTTTGGCTGCACAGGTTCACAGATGGAGAGGCATTTTGCCACAGGATGAATCATTCCCTGGGTCTCACCAAAAGCAGATTTAGATGATATTTGGATTAGGATTTGGACTTAAGAGTTGATATTGGATAAATTAAGACTTTTGGAGATGTTGGGATGGTATGAATGTATTAAGCATTTGAGAAGGACAAGAATATTGGGAGGGTAGGCAGCGGACATTACAAGATCAGTTGTGTCCCTCCAAAGTTCCTACACTGAAGTTGTAACCTACACTAGAATGTGACCCCATATGTTGTTGCAGATGTAATTAGTTAAGATACAGTCAGCAGGATGAGGCTCTAATCCGACATGACCCGTGTCCTTAAAAAGTGGTGAAATTTGGACATGGAGATGTGCACACAGGGAAAACACATGTGAAGATTGGACAGTGCTGCCAAGAGCCGAGGAACTATCAGAAGCTGGGGGAGAGGCCTGGAGCAGGTATTTCCCTAGCACCTTCAATGGGAACGTGGCCTGTCATGACAAACTGCTGTTAGCTGAGTGGCTTAGACAACAAACATTTATTGTCTCATATATTGTCTCATAGTGTCTAGTCTGGAGAATAGAACTTTGAACTCAAGGTGTCAGCAGCACCTTGTTTTAGGACCCTGGTGTCTAATGTTCTCTCCTTGATTTTAACTGGGTTTATTGTTATTGCTTTTTCTATTTTAATAGGAGAAACAAAAGTGTCCGAAGATGATGAAATGGAGAAGCTCTACAAATCATTAGAGCAAGCTAGTCTCTCTCCTCTTGGGGACCGACGCCCTTCAACCAAAAAGGAGCTGAGAAAGTCCTTTGTTAAGCGGTGCAAAAATCCATCCATCAATGAGAAACTCCACAAAATCCGCACCTTGAATAGTACATTAAAGGTAAAAAATGTCAGATTGTGAACAAACTCTGGATGTGGGGTGAGGAATGGCTGGTTCTTTAGGGAGATTCATGTTAACCCTGGTGTGTGTTTGTGTGGGTAGCAGGGAGGGCAGCGAAAACAAATATACTCTATATAGGGTGAGATGACCTTCCCTAAAGCACTACAGTATTCACTCCATAGCACCCAATGCGGTTTCCTTTCATAGTCCTTGATTTTTACATTCACTCTGGTATAAAATTTCAAATGTTAAGGTCCTAGAAGGTAAGGAACATATGCAATTTATTTTTTGTTTTTTTTTTGTTCTTATAACTAGCACAATAAATGTTAATGAGAGCTTAAGATAGGTAACACATGAGAATAAATAGTAATATTAATAAGATCTTTGGATCTTACATGATTCTTTAAAGGATGCCATTCTTCTGTACTATATCCAGAAGAAAATTTCTAGATTTCAGATGCAGCAAAGATTTAGTGACTCTCAGCTGAAGGCTCTGGAGCCAGGAAACACCATGAAAGCCAGGCAGTGGGAAATCTATACCTCAGGGTAATAGGCCAGGTGTGTTCACAATGGGAGTGAGAGACTGTACGGGATGTACTAAAGCTCTTCGCAGGGCCTCCTGTAACTAAAATGGGTCTTCATAGAAAAAGCATCCTGCTTTTACATTAAAATTATAGTATGAATGGAAAGAGGCCAGGATACTTTATCAAATAGTCCCAAATTAGCAGATTTATAGATTCTGAACAGCCTTGATATATCCTACAGTTTAATTCTGGTTTGTATATGTACTTTTGCATCAAGAGTTTGATTATCTTCCCAGGAAGAAATATCAACAGTCAAAAGACACAGCCTCAAAGAGATGGCTGAGTGACTCTCAGTCAGATGTCCTGGTTAGTCAACAGAAGACTCCCTAAGAGGCTGCAAAAGTGAGGCTGAAAAATAAAAGGCAAAGGGGTGTTTTAAGTGTACAAAGAAAATCCAAATTTTGTAACATTTTATGATGAAAAACATCACTAAACTCATTTAAATGGCAAATCTGTTGTAGTCCATAGTACAGAGTGGATAAATTTGTTTGGTCATTCAATGTAATATGTCATCGTATGTTCAGATTTTAGTCTTATTTGTAATAACTGATATGAATTTTTTATTGAACAAATATTTCCTGAATCTTACTATGTACCAGAGACTATTCTAAAACACCAGGGCCATTGAATGGACCCCACTGGACAATGGAAGCAGAGAGGAAAACAATTAGAATGCTACGTGATATGTACTGTATTGATTCAAACTTGGGCTTAGCCCAGAGGAGGGAAGTGACTGCCTATCTGAGGCCATTGGGACAGTATCATGGAGGTGCTGACAACTGGCCCATGGTTAAGGGATGAAGAAAATCAGGATGAGAAGGAACTGGCCTAGACAAATGTATATCAGTGGATGACCTGTTGCAGTCCATGTTGGGAGCAACAGGAAACAGGCTAAGGAGGTGAAGGACCACTCAGGCCTCTCCCAGGAGAAAGACTGTGGTCTCAGCTTTCCATTGAACAGCATCCACCGGATTTTGTACTATCACAGGACTATATGCCCTGACCTGACACTGGGACATCAGGATTGTACCAAGAACTCAAAGGTTTACTGGCCCATATGGTCTGCCGTGTCCTCTTGCTCTCCTTGTACTATGGCCAGGAAATTGATGAGTTCAACAGCTCTTTCTTCTCTTCTCCTGCATTAGTTATACTGCTAGGTAACAAACTACCATAATATTGACAACTACAAACAGTAAACACAGTTTCTGCAGGTCGTCAGGAATTTGGGCATGGCTTGGCTGGGTGCGTCTGCCTGCAGGTCTCTCACGGGGCTGTGATCCTGGTGCCAGCTGGGGCTGCCTTCGTGCCTCCCCTGGGGGAGGATTCGGTCCAGTCATTGGCAGGATTCAGTTCCTCAGGGATGTGGGACTGAGGGTCTCAGTTCCTGGCCCTGTGAGCCTCCTCATCGGCAGCTCCCCGAATGGAAGCTCAGAGCATGTAAGCCAGCAAGAGGGATCACACCCTGGTCTCGAGAGTGACCCCGTGTTACGTTTACAATATTCCAGTCATCAGATACCAGTCACCAGGTCAGCCTCCATTCAAGGAGAAGCGTCCCGTGAGGGTGTGAAAATCAGGGAGCAGGGAGCCCTGGGGGCCTCCTTAGAACTGCCTGCCACATCCAGCCGAAGGGCTCTGCTCTCTGCGTATTCCCTGAGAGAGGCCCTATCCACATACCCTCAGGCCTCACAGAGAGCAATGCTGGGGCGCGTGATGGGCGGTCCATGATCTGTGGTCTTAAGAGCCTTGTCAGAGACAGGAAGATATGATAATATGGAAATGGGCCTTGTTGGGGAAAAAAAAAAGGGCATCTGTCTATTCACTGGAGAAAGATAGTGTAGTATGTATATGTCTGTACATGTTGAAAGGGTATAAGAATTATTTTAACTATCTTTAATTTAATTTGAGCTGTCTGTAAAATTCGAAGTGGTAGGGGTGAGAGATTGCCTTTGAGGAGAAGTGGGCAAGACTAGGAGGGGCTTCTGATGGGCTGGATAAGGGTCCTTTTTTGATCTCAGTGTTGGTTACACAGATGTGTCCATTTTGTGTTCATTAATCAAACACCCACTTTATTATATGTGTGCTTTTCTCTGTGTATGTTCCATTACAATATAAATGTTTACTTTAAAAACTACTTCAAAGCTGGAGTGTGGGCAAGCAAAGACAACAGAACTCCATGCAGGAACAAGGGAACAGTTTTAACATTAATGTTTATATTAGCAATAGGCACATTCCAAAAATCAAAGAAAAATCCCCATACTGGGATTGGATTGGAACAGAGGCTCTTGATGGAAATTCTTCCAGGGAGCTGAACAGACTCTCATGTCATACACTACATATAGATCTTTAAGGATTTTGGAGAGCTCAACATTCACTGACTTTTGGCTAAGCCTGACTTATTTTAAAATGAATGATTAATGGATTGATTAATGGGTGGACTGAAACTTTCTTTCAGGGTTACTCTGGCCTGTGTCAAAGGAGGGAACCAATGCTCCTTTCCCCCAAGTGTTCTGGCCGAACACGCTTCCACTGCTTAAGTCTTGAGTCAAACCACGTATTAAATATTTGGAGTGAAAAATAAAAGTACAGCATTTGCTCTCTCATGGTATTCTTTTGGAAGTCCTGCCAAACCCTGCCTGCCACCCAGAAAGCAAGGAGGATGTTGTAAAAGTAGTTCAAAGCCCCCCGCAGGCACCACAGGGGAGAGGCAGGGCGGTGCGTGAGCGAGGCTGCTGACCCTGGGGAGCTGGTCTAGGAAGCATCACACAGGGCTTTGTTTCATCAACTTCCTTCCTCTCTATTCTTGTCTACAGTTTTTTTTCTTTATCCATAAAAGAATTTCACATAGACATGAGTCCAATGGTAAGAATTTGAGTTGTTAGCACTAAAAACCGTATGAGAAGTGTGAGCCCAAAGTTGAAAATAACTTTCCCTAAGACCTTTGGTCAGATTCAGGGGCGCACTTAATTCGTTTTTGCCTTTAATAATCAGGTGTCTAAATTTTATTAATCTGAAAAGATCTTATTTTGTTCTGTCAATAAAATATTAGGATCTCTCACTGAAACAGATGTCAAAATGTCTTAAGAAGAAAGTAGAGCTTAAATAACTTCATATGAATAGAGCATTGGTGATGTCAGTGGATGAAAGCTTATGTTTTTTGGAAAAGATTGTTTTTTGAAATGCAGATGCTGAAAATTCAGGAGACAGCAAATCCATAGGTGATGGGGGATGGGACCGCAGCAGTGGGTCAGAGGGCAGTGGGGCATCATGCCACAGAGTCTTATTGCCATTGCAGATACCGTCACTTTTCTTCAGAGGGAGATAGGAAGCCTCTGGAAGATTCTGAACAGAGGTGTGGCATAATTTGGCATATTTTGAGGATTCCAGCAGATCTGGAGTGGGAGAAGGAGTCAAGGATGACTCCAGTGTCTGAGCAACTGGAAAGGTGGAGTCGACATGAGGTGCTTTGCAAAAGACTGTGGCAGGTTTCAGTGTGTACTGGGAGTAGGGGGGAAGTGTGGAGAATAACAGAAACTTATTTTTGGACATCTTGCATTTGAGATGCCTATAAGGAGTCCAGGTGGAGTTGCTGAAGAGGATTTTAGACAAGTATGGAGTTCAAGGGAGGGGAGGGGTAAGGAGGCAAGATAAATTTGCAACTCTCAGTGTTAAGGAGAGTGGGAGAGATTACATGAGATCCCCAAGCACATGAATGCAGATAGAACAGAGAGGAGATAAAGACTGGAGTGCTGGAGGTACAGTGATGTCAAGAGAGTGGGCCGGAGGGAAGGCCAGCAGAGGAGACAGACTAAATGACCATTGTGGGATGAGGAAAATCAGGAGCATGTGCGCAGAAGAGACGTGATGTGGTCAAGGAGTAATCAACAATTTTGGATGCTGTTGATAAGTAAGTCGGAGATGAGTAAGTGGTTACTAGATTCAGCAACATGAAGATCATTGATGGCCTTAACAAGAACAGTTTTGGTAGAACTGGGGTGGCAGAAGCTTGGTGGAAGTGCATCTGTGGAAGAATAGGCACAGGTACATTGGAGACAAGGGGAAAAGTGGAGCATTGGCTGGAACAGAGACGTAGGGTCAAGAGGACTTTTAAGATGGAAGTTAAAACAGCCTGCATGTATGCCAATGAGAACATCAAGTGGAGATGGGGAATTGGTGTCACAGGAAAGGGAGAATTGCTGGAGCAAATTTCCTGAGTATGAGAGAGGGCCATAGTACACAGTGGAGAGACTGGCCTTTTCTAAGAGAGCAGGTATTTCATGCAAATGAACAGGAAGGCAGGCAGCAGGATATTTGTGCTGATATAAGTAGTAGGCAATAGGAACTTGGGAAAAGCATTCTCCTGATTGTTTCCATTTCCTCAAAAAAAGAACAAGGTTATCAGCTGTAAGGGAGTGGTGGGAGAGGTTTGAGTAGAGGGTCAGAGAGGCAGTGGGGCATCATGCCACAAAATGTCTTATTGCCATTGCAAGAGAAGTCTTGAAAAAGTCATTTGGAGGAGTGAGAGAGAAAAAATATGAAAAACTATGATTATTGGATAGTAGTTAAAGTCCGCTTAATGGCAGTAGTCATGAATTTGAACTATAAACAGTGAGCGTGGTTGTGAACTTACAGCTACACACATGCCATCCTGGGGTAGGCAGAGAGATTGGCTCAACAATATGTGTTGGATACCTACCCAGAACTTGGCATTGGGGAAGGTGCAAGAAATAGAGGGATGAATAAAATGGTTTTGTCACCTTTGTAAAGCTTTTTAAGAAGCTTTAGGTGGCATGACAGATCCACAAACATCTAAGTATAACGTGGTCAGTTCAAGAGGGCTCTAAGTAGTGGAAAGCGTGAGAACATAAAAAAATGAGAATCCGATTTGGGGGTTCAGAGAAGGTTTTCTGGAGAACATGATGCCTGATGTGAGCATAGATTTATGAATTAGTAAAATCAGGGGAAGAAAGATTGAAAAGCATTCCACGTGAAAGCAGCTGTAGTAATGAGAGTTCATGAGGTGCGGAACATGGAGGAAGTTTCTCTGTGCAGCACGTCGTGGAGATGTGATCTGGCATCACGTGGGAGGGGAAACTGACATCTGCCCCGTTAGAGTGGGAAGTTAGGAAGCAGAAGATCGACCCGTGGAGCTCCAGTCCGCAGAACCTCGGACATGATGGGAAACATTGAGGACTCAGCATTTTACGTGGATCCCTTGCACTGCCTTGCAGAGGGTGGAGTGAGAGGGGATTGGAGGCAGGAACTCACTTAAGGTCAAGTGTGATATGTTGGACTTCATATCCAAAATTAGGATTATGGTCACAGGGATGGAGGATACAAAAACGGATTTAAGTCACAATTGTCAGGACTGAATAATCTCTCTGAATTGGAGGCTGTTGCATCTTATTTTTGCTCCATTCTTGACTGCAGAGAACTCCCCTAACCTGAGCCAGACATTTCAGAAATGTGTGTCATTGGTTACAGAGGTACCAAGGTGAAAGAATATGACTAGATTGTTTACTCTGTTAGCATCACTGGATTACATACTGGTTAGATGGAAGGTTTATAGTCTTTTCTTTGAATAAAAAGATAGCCAATGTGTTTATTTTATATATATTTATTAAATTAATATGTGTGATTTATTAAAAATCAAGGTGCTTTAATAAAACATAAGAAAGATATTTTGTATTATCTTATGACTTAGGGAAAATACCGGGTCACACTTTTGCTTAGGTGGAGTTTGGATGGTCAATGAAATGATTATACACTGTAAGTTTCAGGAGGAATAATGCTTATCCCCGGATAGAAATATTTACTATGATGTGTAGTAACAGACTGGTTAGGAAGAAAGGAAGAAGTAACACTGGAGACCATGGCAGGATGTCTGCTACTTCCAGTCATTGTTGGGTAGGATACTCGACTTCTTTGTGGCAAGGATATTCTGCCATATCTCTTAGGATTGGTGTAGGGATTCGAATATTAATGTGTAAAAACTCTTTGACAATTGTATGACAAATGTATATGTATCTATTTGTAGAAGGGCTGGAGATGGTTCATTGAAATTAAGTTATTCACTACATCCCACCTCCCTTTTTTATCCTACTTGGACAGTGCAAAGAACATGACCTGGCCATGATTAACCAGCTACTGGATGATCCGAAGCTGACAGCCAGAAAATACAGAGAATGGAAAGTGATGAACACCCTTCTGATCCAGGATATCTACCAGCAGCAGCTGGCCCCTGCGTCTGCCCACGAGGGCACCCCCCAGGGACGCGAGAAACCATCTGCCTCTGCCGGCCTTGAAAATTCTATTTGAGAACAAGCGAGGATTCTCTCGCCTTACACCTTACCCCAAGCAACTCTTCAAGATGTTGTAAGAGTTTTCCTTAAAAGGAAAACTGAAACCAGTTCGTCAAGCAGCAGCACCCTCTTAGGAAATGCAACTTAGGTGAGGACCAGCTTCGACAGCATCAGGACCCCGGCTTCCAGCCATAGAGCTTCCTTCAAGACTGGGCTGACTGAGTCCTGTTGAACAAGCATTGTGTTCCTATGGGAGCTCGTGGCTGTGCTAGACTTCTGGTGGCCTGTGAGAAATGTATCTTTTGTTCCTTGCTCTCTAGAGCATTACAACATTCCGTGGACAAAAGATATATTTTACCAGGGATAGTCAAAGAAGTGTTCTATTTTCCAAAAGACGAACGGACTTACTCCATCAGGTTGGGTAGTTGAGGTCTACAAATGAGTTTTTGAGAGGAGGGATCTTTTCTATACCAGCAACTGGAGCAGGACAGATTGGGTATTGTGGAATCAAATTCCCTTGCCTTTGGTCCAGAATGGGTTGAGAAATACTTCATAATGAGTGGGGTGTGGGAGAGCCCAAGGAGGAGGCGGCAGTTCTATGTTTCTCTCTCTCAAAGGACTGCTTGATATTTTCCCACCTTACCCAGGTGGGGGGATCTGATTACCTTTTCCTTTCCATAGCATAGCACCTCTAAAGAAATCTATCTCATTACACTTGGAGACCTCTCCTTCTTCCCAGCTTTTCTAAACCACTGTAGGAGATAGTAATAAGCCCAGCAAAGAGTATTTGCTGTTTCTGTCCTTGGGTGTGGTGCCTATGCACACATAGATTTATATCCAGTTTCCCCAGGCTCAATATTGACAACATGATTCTGGTGTCTCAGTTGTCTTAATATCTTTATTCCAAACGAAACAAACAACACAAGAGTTAAAACATGACGGTTTTATTTTTGTATGTTTATGTGTCACTTTGTGTCCTATGTGAATAGCTATCTATAATATATTATTTAAGTATATTTATAGAAGGTCAAATTACTAGAGTTTTAAAAGATGATATACTATTATTTGTTTTGCTCAGTATATATCTCAGAGTATATCCTTTGTGCTGAGAAAAATAGGGATACTACTAATCTATTGGAGTTGTTTTGTTGCGCTATCAGTTTGTATGAGAAATGCTCAGGATACCTTGTGGGATAAGTGTGGGGGAATGCATTAATCAGCTTCCATTTTCTGGCCCCCCCCCCCCTCTCTCTCTCTCTGCCGCTCCTTTTCAACCCAGAGTGCTCAGAGTTCTCTATCTGTTGTACATCATTCTTTTAACCAGAAAAGGGCTTTCATCTTCTGGATAATTCCAGAAAAGGGTTATCCCTTCCAGTAAATGAACTTGAAGCTTCATGTCATTTATGCCCACAAATCCTAAACCAAAGGAAACACAACTAATGCAGTCTTTTATCTAAAGAATGATAGCAGTTTGAGGGTCTGTTGTTAAAGAGAACTCACTTTATTAGAGAAGCAATATGAAAGTCTTCACTTACAAACGATCATGAGTATTTCTCACCACATGAATAACCCACAACCCACCAAAAACCCATCTGGCCTTACCTTAGCAAATTGTCAACATAACATGGCTTTATAGCGTCAAAGTGTGGCTTGACATTTGAATGGAAATAACGCCCTGAATTTTATCTGCAAACTAAATGGAAATAGTTGTTGAATATTTCCCCAGCCTTTACTAAGAAATTTTAATATTTTGTAAAGAAAAGATAACCTTAGCATGACGAAAACCAAAAAACCAGGGAGCAAGCTGTAGTACTTGAAGTTTCTGTAAGATCAGAGATCATGTTAATCAAGTTACCTAGTGGAAAATGCTGGGCATAGGCCACAGACATACAGCACAGGGCGGACTTTGCAGAAATAACCATTCAGGTCAAGTTACCTAGTGGAAAATGCTGGGCATAGGCCACAGACATGCAGCACAGTGCAGACTGCACAGAAATAAGCATTCAGGTCTTCAGATTGGACCTGCAACTTCTAGTTTGAGAGGTGTGGACTTTAATTTCTTTACTTGGGAAATTATCATGGTTTCTTTGTGTAACCAGCTAGCAGAATGTCAGTTTAGGCTTCTCAATGTAAACAAAGTTTTGAGAGGAGAGAAAAATGGAGGAAATAATAATTTGGCCACATATTCTCTCATCTTTTTTATTTTTTGCTTTGTAATACCAGCCTATAAATTTCAAGATAGTCTTTCCTAAAATGAAGTACTCAGAAAGCTTTTGATGAAGGCTTGCAAACAGACTTCAGTGCTTGGCTGTGGATTTCTGTGAATATATTTAACTGACCATTTAGTGTAAATTCCTTGAGTACTACTCATGATTGGGCAAAATAGTCCATGAGATTCTGTGATCAAACCCTTTGGTTATTTTCCAAAGTCAAGCTGGTTTGGAAGCTCTTCCTTTGGGAGTTAAAGCAGGTACTGTGCGGAACCTCCCAAATGAAATCACATTGCCGACTTGGTGCCCTGCTCTTCCAGACCGAGCTCAACCGCTCCTGAGTATTGCTCTGCAAAAGCTCTTGTTCTGTATTATGTTGTGCTGGGAAGTAGGGGCTGCCTCTGGGAGTCCCCCAGCTTCAGCTCTGGTCACTGCGAGGAGGCTGAGGGACAGTGGGAAGCGAGGAAAAGCGGGTGACGCTGTCCGTGGCACTCAACCTGGGAACCACCTTGCCATTTTCCTGATCCAGTGGATACTGGGAAAACTGGATCACTTCGTTCATTCCTGGGGATCGGGTCATTTCTGAAGTGGATCTTGGTTAGCTTCATGGGGCCCTAGGGGAGACTCTACCCAGTCCTGTACGCATAGGGTCTGAGGGCTGTGGACTGACCCAGGTCCAAACCTTTGGGGGATCTGGACTGGCCTCCTCTTTTGGGGTTGTGGGGAGGATGGCTTCTCTCTATTGTTAGCCTGCAGGCCCACACAGTGCCTGATATGGTGCCCTCCCTGGTTGGTACATCGCCGCACATGCTGAATTGATGGTCTTGAGCTTGAAGGGCATTTGCTGCCTTTAATAATTCTTAGTTCTGCTGCAATCTCAGCCTAGCATCAAAGGCCTAGGAAGACTCTTCAGGCGCGCTAGCACAAAGACTCCAGGAAGCCTAAGAAAGATTGTTTGGAGTCAGGTTTCCATGGGAAACCAATGCCTTACATTTATGCAGCACTTTGCAGTTTGCAGTTGGTATGTTTCAGGCCCCCCCTTTCCCCTCCCCAGGGATCCTTTGCGATAATTATGGGTCATCATCACTCTTTGACCTGGGGGGAAACAAGTTCCCCCTGCGGTCCATCTCCCTTCACCTTGCGCAGGGGCCATGGGGACCCAGCAGTCTGACTTGGAGTGTGCCTGCCACTGCACGGAAATGGGCCACAGCTTCTGTGATCACCTGTTGGAAACTGAGGGCCTCTTCCTTGAGCACTGTCTCTTCCTCACAGCCCCAAAGGCCACTGTTTCCCTGGCAGCAGCCTGCTGCTGGGCTGAAGGTGAATTGGATTGGACCTAACCACTTGTGCTTCTTTCCTTTCACTATGTTATGCTGCTCATTAGGTGCTAGAGATCCCTGGCTGAAAGAGGTATTTAAAGAAATGGAGTTTGTCTTGTTTTCTTTTAAAATGTGTCAGAAGTCAGAGACTGAGCTCAGTGACTCAGGGTTAGGCCCTTAACCTTCCTCTCCCAATTTCTTATCCTGTAATTATGATTTCCTCAGATAGCCTTTAAGTCACAAATGAGATCATAGAGATGAAACAGATAAAAAGAAGATATATTTTTAAGTCTTTGAGGAGAGGTGCTATACAGATTCCAGCCATACCTAAATTCATGGACACATGCCTCTTTTAAGATGCTCTCATGGAAAGGTAATGTTTTGAAGTAGCCACAGATTTAAGGAGTAATTTAGGTACAGAGTATGCTCTTCCAAAAGTCAGTATGTATCGAGAAGCTGTCACGTCCAGTGGAGTTTTAGGGTGCATCTCTTCTTCAGTCTAACAATATAATATTCAATTGATTTTCTAATTTCCCTCCCAGTTTTTTTGTATACTTATTGCATGAAAGACATCAGCTCCTAGAGACGCAAGGTGACTGCCTGCCT